AGCAGCCTTGAGGGGTCTGTACAGAACCCAGAGTTTCATTCAGCAGCAGCGTGCTCGGTGTCCTGCGCCTTGTCAGCGCACTGGGAGGGCAGTTGGGCTTCACCAGGCACCTTGCAGAAGGCGCTGGGCGTACCTCATGATAGAGCCTGCGGAGGAATCGCTCTTCAGGGAAAGCAACCAGGCAATGGAGGGGTCCCCTCCGGTTTCCTGTCGCTGCAAACCAGTAGCTGGCAGTTCATTCACGTTCCCCGCCCAAATTTCCTGAGCTTATTCTCCCAGGAGACGTGGGGCTGCCTCCTTCCGTCTCTCTGTCTAAGTCACATTCCAGCATACAGCACAGGCGGACTTAGCAGCGGTTCTGTGGCTCACCACTGAGTGCCCCTTTCTCTCTGCGATCTGCTTGCTTCCACAGGACCCTTCCCTGAATCACAAAGCCTACAGAGACGCATTCAAAAAGATGAAGCCACCCAAGATCCCGTTCATGCCCTTGTTGCTTAAAGGTAATGTTTGTCTGTCTTTGGTGCTGTGTGATTCCAGCTTCCAGACATTTCTCTGTGTTTAGAGGGCAAAAACAAAAGAACAGACAAAAGAAGACACCCTGTTTCTTTCTTTCCAATCGTGTTGGCCGCGAGACCTGCCTGTATTTGGTGGTGCTACTTTTTCAAGTACTTCATTGTTGAGCAGACTTCAAAATATTTTTAACTCAGAAAACTCAACTCCGGAAACTTTTGCATTCTGGTTTTACTCCACTTTTTAAAAAAAAGATTTATTTTATTTATTTGAAAGGCAGAGTTGCAGAGCGAGGTAGAGCCAGAGAGAGAGAAAGGACTTCCATCTGCTGGTTCATTCCCAAATGATCGCAATAGCTGGAGCTGAGCTGATCTGAAGCCAGGAGCTTCTGGGTCTCCCACGTGGGTGCAGGGGCTCAAAGATTTGGGCCATCTTCCACTGCTTTCCCAAGCCTTAGCAGAGAGCTGGATTGGAAGTGGAGCAGCCAGGATGCAAACCGGTGCCCATATGGGATGCTGGCAATTCAAGCTGGGTAAGCTTTAACCCACTGCACCACAGTGCTGGCCCCTACTCTGCTTCTAAGTGCTGTGCTGGTTCCTGTGTTGGCTGCTGTCCACTGAAGTCAACCAAGAATAAGGTTGGCATAAAGAACCCAGATGGTAATCATCACGCAACTCGTCGGCTCAGTGATTGTCTTTCAGAGGGGATGGATGAAAGGCCACTGTTCTAAACTCTGGCGTGCAGCGTATATCTTCACCTGTGTGTTTTCCCGGGCAAGGGGGTCTGGCTGTCTTACTGGGTCATATTTTGATGACTTCAAGGGGTTTCATGGGATTATTCCTTCATCAGGCCCCCGCCCTTCAGGGCCATTGCCTTCTGCTGGGCGAGGCTCCACGACCGGTCCCAGAAACACAGTTCTGGAAATGAGTGATGTGGGCACTGCACTGCATGGCCACCCTCACCCCCTGCCACCCGCCATGGATACAAAGCCGGCATTCCCACCACAGCTTCTCTGCAGAGCAGCCAGAGCTCGGAGAACTGTGAGATGCCTGTGTCCCTGCAGCGACTCTGTTAGCTTCATCTGAGATGATGCAGGTGTCCCCATGAAACAGGAATGCAGTGTTATTAAATATAGAGTATTATAGTTTACAGTGTATATACTGTATGGTATTCTCTATATAGCATTATAGTATACAGTATGTAGACTATATAGTATACTATATATAGCATCATAGTATATGGTATTTATACTACATGTATACTATATATAGTAGTGTAGTATATGGTATATATATTGTATAGTATACTATACGTAGTATCTATATACTATATATAGCATATACTATAATATATATATATAATATATAGTATATATTTATTATTATAATATAGTATGTTATGTGTTATATATTATGTTATAATATAGTATATTATATAATATAGCATACACTGTATATACTATATAGTATTATTAAGAACAACTGAGAGATGCATAGGACGCTTCATTGGAGCTGAAAAGGCTCTGTTAACCACGAGTGGAGGACGTCGGGAGAGGTTGCAATGCCCGAATAATGATTTAAAGTCTGTTCAATCCTTGGAATTCATTTGCTTTGAAGCTCAGTTTATTCAGATTTTTCTCTTTATTTGCAAAGTAAAATGCCCTCAGCTGGAGTGTAGAGGGTGACAGGTGGGAAATAACACTTAGAATCATTTAGACGCAGACAGGGACGGTGGAAAATGAGGACAGATGGGGGAGAGGAATTGATTTTAGGAGGAAAAAATTTAGAAGCAATAAATACCTTAATGAGGAATTGGTTGACAGTGCCCCTTTAGCTTAATTAGGCGTGAGCAGAGCTTCCTGCCGTACATTCGTGGTTTTCCCCCCGAAATATTCACTGCGGCTGAGTGTCTCAGGCGCGCATCTTAGCTTGGATGCAATTTTCTGCTCCGCCGACTTTAGCCCTCTTTGTTGGCAGCAAAACAAATGCCCCTTTTTTTCTATTGCAGAGACTTTTTGCTCATTCCCAAAGAACCACATTGGCCACTTAGCCTTGTCCCACTAGAAGCTGCCTTGGGTTTAAATAAGTACTCACTTAGTCCTTTGCCCTTGTGGTCATAATAAAAATGCTGCTCCCTGCCCGCCAGCCCCCTTGGCAGCTTCCCTGCCTGCTGGCCTCAGTGAGTTCGCGTTGGGGGGGGGGGGGCGTGACTGAAGGCAGCAGGGGCCACACAAGTGGCCTTAGGAAGACATCACTGTACAAGGTGCCAGAGGCAAGGCGTGCATTGCTGCTCTGAATGGCCACATCCCATACCGCAGGGCCTGGGTTTAGTGTTGGCTGCTCCGCTTCCCGTAGCTTCCGGCTTATGCACTGGACCTCATGGCTCCTCACGTGAGCTGCGTTGGAGTTCCAGGCTCCCAGCTATGGTCTGGCTGACGCAGGCATTTGGGGAATGAACCAAGCGGATGGGAGATCCCCCTCCGTGTCTGTCTGCCTTTCAAGATAAATGAAGATGAGTGCATTAAGAGGTAAAGCTGCCGAGGCAGCTGGTAGGGCACTCATCAGCAGGTGGACTGTAACCAGTGGTGAGAGAAGTCCAGGCCCTTTCAAGTTGAGGTGAGTGGGGACGGGTGAACCTTGCGACACTGCGGGAATGGACCAGGCCACTCCGGAAGGGCGCTTGTCATCTGGAATTCCCACCAAGGCAGAATGCAGGCTTTGAGGCCAGGTGGCGTGCAGGCAGAGCCTGCGCCCTGTTGCCTTTGCCGCTCACAGAAGGGGAATACTTACTGTGTCAATCACTCCTCTCTAAACGCGGTGTCACAGGAAGAAAGCTTGCAGTTGTTTTCTGGAAGCAAAATTGCAAGAGATAATGAAACGAGCAGATAATTTGTCAGAAGACCCGCGTGCTCCATGGTGCATCGTTTTCCTACTAGGACAGCGGTTAAAAGGAAAGGGAGAAAAAGGCCGGTGCTGGAAACTGTGTCCTGGCCGCTCCCTGGGATGGACTTGTGGCTTGAGTCGCCCCCTGGTGGGCTGTCAAAGCCCCAGGCCCCGGGCACTCTGAGCCAATTTCAGGAGCACCTGTCTCATAACTGCCCCCACAGGGACAAGCAGAATAAAAATCTTGATTGGCTATAAATACATTCTTTTTCTAAGAGTTTTAAAGCACCCCCTTTTTTCTAGAAGGCTTTTTTTTTTGGACAGGCAGAGTGGACAGTGAGAGAGAGAGACAGAGAGAAAGGTCTTCCTTTGCCGTTGGTTCACCCTCCAATGGCCGCCGCGGCCGGCGCACTGCGGCCGGCGCACCGTGCTGATCCGATGGCAGGAGCCAGGAGCCAGGTGCTTTTCCTGGTCTCCCATGGGGTGCAGGGCCCAAGCACTTGGGCCATCCTCCACTGCACTCCCTGGCCACAGCAGAGAGCTGGCCTGGAAGAGGGGCAATCGGGACAGAATCTGGCGCCCCGACCGGGACTAGAACCCAGTGTGCCGGTGCCGCTAGGTGGAGGATTAGCCTAGTGAGCTGCGGCGCCGGCCTCTAGCAGGCTTTTTAAAAAGATTTATTTATTTGAAAGGCAGAGAGGGGGAAGCAGAAAAATTTTCCATCTGTTGGTTCACTCCCCAGATGGCTGCAACTGCCAGGCCTCGGCCAGACAGAAACCAGGAGCCAGGTGCTTCTTCCAGGTCTCCCACACAGGTGCAGGGACTCAAGGACTTGGGCCGTCTTCCACTGCTTTTCCAGGCCATAGCAGAGAGTTGGATCAGAAGTGGAGCAGCAGGGACTTGAACCAATGCCCACTTGGGATGCTGGCATCATAGGTGGTGGCTTTACCCACTGCACAATAACACTGGCCCCCTATCTATCAGGTTATTTTAGCAAGATTTTTAAAAATCATTTTTATTTGGTGCTCTGTTTTTGATGTAACCTGAATGTTCTCTTTAAATTGCAGCAGCCGTACAAGACCACTTACCATATCCCATAGAATTAAAGATACCTATGTTTATTTTGGTTTAAAAATTTTTGAAATCTTTGCCTACTTTTTTTCCATAATACACATTGCCCATGAGCTTTTTTTTATTTTTTATTTATTTTTTTTTTTGAAAAGCAGGGTGCGGGGAGAGAGAGAGAGATCCTCCATTCTCTGGTTCACTCCCCAGATGACCACAGGGGCCAGGGCTGAGCTAGGCCAAAGCCAGGAGCCTGAAACTCCGCTGGGGTCTCCCACGTGGTGGCAGGAACCCAAGCACTTGGGCCATCACCTGCTGCCTCCCAGGCGCATTAGCAGGGAGCTGGAGCAGAAGCAGAGCTGGGACTCCAACCCACACACTCCAGTATGGGAGGCAGGTGTTCCAAATGGTGTCTTTTTGTTTTTGATATTCATTTATTTATTTTCTTCTACCTGAAAGAGTGATGGAGTGCAGGGGGAGGGAGAGAGAGAGCTTCCATCCACTGGTCCATTCCCCCAAATGCCTGCAACAGCCAGGGCTGGTTAGGCCGAAGCCAGGAGCCAGAACCTCCATCTGGATCTCCCTCATGGAAGGCAGGACCCTAGTACTTGCTTCATCACCCGCTGTCTCCCAGGGTGTGCAGTAGGAAGCTGGACTGGAAGCAGGGCAGCTGGGACCCGAGCCAGCGCTTAGATATGGGATGCAGACATCTCAGATTCCAGTCCTGCACCCCGACCCCATTTCTCGCCTTCATCAGTGATGGTTTTTCCTACCCAATCACATGAGGCCGGCAACCTTGCCATCCTTTAACCGGCCCCTTTTCTTACTCACTCCTCATACACAATCAGGCACTGGCTTTGGGAACCAAAAATGTAAACGTCAAAATCTTAAGTCTTAATTGTTTCAGGGGAAACAGGCCCCATGTACTTCGTCCAAGATACTTTTTCGAAAGCACACGTCAGTGTTAAAATCCTATCGTTTGTGTGCACTTCTCTGCTCAGCATTCTGAACCAAAAACTCACTGGGCCAGAGTACAGTTAGCTTATTGTAGCAGTATGTTTTTCCCACTGGTTTAACAGTAACTGAGGCTCAGGAACTTATAAAGGGGAAAGGTTTTCCTGCCTCTTTCAGCTGCCTTGGGGGCAGGAAGTCCGAGACCCAGCTGCCCCACTGGCTCAGTGACCGGTGAGGGCCTCGTGCAGGCGGCTTCTCAAAGGTGGGAGCACCTGCCAGGGCAATCACATGACAAGACAGGCAGCCAACGTGCAAGGAGACACCAGTCTTGATGTATTTTAATAGCAACCCTTTTTGCATGAACTAAGTGGGATCCTATAAGAACTGTAGTATTCCCTTCTAAGGGCATGACCCCAGTGACCTAAGTGAGTCTCACTAGGCCCCACCTGTTACAAGTGCCATCACCACTTAACAGTGCCATACCAGGAACCAAGCTTCCAGAACAGCAGCCCTTGGAACACAAGCCCCATGCAAACCACAGCACCTACATTACACAGGCTGAAGATGGATTGATTCCTTGTGAGTGCAAAATATGGACATTTGGTGAAGTGAGGTGCTTCTTAATACACACACACTGTGCACCTACATGTTGATCACTCTCCAGACTCAATTTCAAGTGATCTTGCCAAGTGCGTGGAATGTTCTAGAATGTTTAATAAAAATGAGAACATTGCTTTGCAGGTAGACCTCACCAGCCCCCGCCTCCTGAGCCATTCCTAACGGTGTCCATCTTTGTGTTCTTCATTCTCAGATGTCACCTTTATTCATGAAGGAAATAAGACGTTCTTGGATAATCTCGTCAATTTTGAGAAGCTGGTACGTAGCTTTCCTTGTGTGCCCTTCTTCCCACTGCATAGGAGAGGAACGCCTGTCCCCTTGACTCCAGGAAACACCTGGGCCAAGTGCTTTTCTCCCCGGGATGCAGGGGGATTTCCAGGGCCACCTGTGCTCTGGGATGTGCGTTGTCGGTTCAGTGTGCAGCAATGAAAAATAGCCGTCCTGGCAAGGTTTCGAGACCCAGATGTGAAAGGGCGCCCTTTGTTGTTAAGAACAGAGCCTCACTGCATCAGCACCAGCAGTTGGGCTTCCATTGAGCCGAAACAAAACCGCGGTGCCTGTCGGGAGGCCTAAGACGGGGCTTCACTGCCATCCCGGCCCCTCTCTGTGTCTCAGCTCCCAGGGCTTCCAAGGCAGGGAAGGAGAAACTCATCCTGGGCAGGCATCTGCCAGTACCGCATGCTTGAGAGGAGGCTGGCGTTTGGAGGGGCTGCACGGGAAGGAAGGGCACCCCCTTACCGTCAGCCGCCCCGCTCGTGAGTAGGAACGGTCCCTGGAATGCCTCTCCCCCAGGTATCTGCAGGACAGTGCCCCGTGCTTTGTCCTGTGGCTCCTGTGGCTTTGTGTCCCGGCCCTGAGCAGAGGTGGGCGTCCCTAGAACTGGGCGACTGTAAAATAGAAGCCCCACTTGACCACTGGGGGAACAGGTTGTCCTGACAGGTGAGCTGCAGTGTCCTGGGTTACACTGCCCGCCAGGGTTAAAGAGGAGACCGGTCACCCTTGCCCCCAGAGCCTGGCTGCGGGGTGACCTTTTCAGCGATGGCAGTGGGTCTGAGTGGGCTCGTTGAGGAGCCGGTTCCCTGTGAGTCTGCATCAGCTGGGTTGAAGCAGAGGCTGCAGGCCATGCAGCCTGATGAGACCAGGTGAGGCCTGGCGTCTGACCTTTGCCTCCTAAGCACATGGCAGGGTCCCCCAGCTCCCTCTGCACCACCCCGAAGGCGACCATTCTGGCCTGTGGTGTTGGAAGCGGACATGTGCGTAGCTCTCCAGGTCTCTCTGCACTGAGCATCCTGGACTCCGAGCTCAGTTGTTTGAGAGGCTGCCATCAGAACGTGGCCGCGGGCAGTAGATCGAGTGTTGATCGCTGCACCTGCGTGTGGCCGTGTGCGCCTCGGAGCTCACCGTGGACCCAGCCGAAGGCTGCAGGCGCTAGGAGTTCCATCTCGCAGCAGGCTCAGCTCCCGCGTTGGAGACTGAAGAAACAGTCGCAGGAACGCAGAGCCATTGGTCAGCATTTATGTCACCTCCTGGCCAGCACTTTTGGTTACACACCAAGTGAGCGTGTCCAAAGCTCTTGGGTGAGGTTGGTCACACCAGGTGGAATTTCTGTAGAGGTCTAGTCTTGTCTTTTCCTCCAGCTAACCTGGAGGGGCCCGGGTGGACACCTGTGCTCTTTGTAAACCACTGTTGCCTGCTGTTAGGAGTAGACTGGCCGTTGACCTTTGCCCTGAATTGACCCAATGATTTGATGAAGTTGCTCGTGTCACCAAAAGCACAGCTGGGAAAGACCCTTGGAAGAGGCCAGCAGCCTTCCTGGGCTCCCTCCTTCTGACCAGCATCTCTGGGGACTCCCCAGTCCTCCTCCTTCTGACCAGAATCTCTGGGGTCTCCCCGTGCCTCTTCCTTCTGGCCAGCATTGCTGGGGACTCCCTGGGCCTCCTCCTTCTGACGAGCATCCGTCTCCAGCCATCAGCAGAAATCCTTCAATGCCACCTTCCTTGTGCTAAGTCACCCTGATGACTGAATCCAGATCTAAAAAACACCCCTGCAATTAGAAGAAATAATTGTACCCTTAATTCCTTAAGAAAATGTAAGAAAATCATGTGACATAAACATGAGGGCACATCAGAAAGTTCATGGAAAATGTGTATCTTATAAAAACTCCATGGCTTTCAAAAATAAACTTCTCTTAAGTTCATTTTTTTCCCCACGTACTTTTTAAAGCCCCCTTGTAATACTCTGTTTTGTAGCCTTTAGCAGAACTTGTTTTAAAAGAAAAGGGGGAGACAGGTACAACTGCCTGCACAGAGCCGCCCCGTTGCTGGCCCACGAAGCCATCGGGGTTGGCGGCACATTGTTTTCCAAGATGATCAGTGGGCTCCTGGGCCTCACGGGAGCTGGGACTGAGGTCGCCCAGCACGCCTTGTGCTGGCCCTCGGTACATGGAGGAGACGGGGTGATGTTTGCCTGGAAGCACACAGATGAGTTTTATTCCTAGCCCTGTGTGACAGTTGGATGCAGAGACAGTGTTTTCAAGGAATGTATCATTGCAGAGGACGGGGTTTCTCCTAAGCTAAAACAGGATCATCTTTCACCGTCACGCCCAATAGAGCCTAAGTGAATTAGCTTGTGAGAAGCCAGTTCCTCGTGATGGACGTTAACTTAAGCCAGCTCGCAGATAATTCAGTGTATTATGTCTCCGCCGCTGACACAGGCCAGCACATTAAATCAGACCCCAGGCAGACACAGGAGCTCGTGGCTCTAACAAGACCTCTCTGGTCCCCTTTGCTGCCTCAGCAACTCTCGGCTGTTTCCCTTGCAGACTGTTCACAAAGGAACAAAGGGCTTCCCCCTTTTCTCTTTCCATTCCTCCAGGGTGAGAGCACCCGTGTTCCCCTTTATTTCCCTCCACAAAGGCTAACGGTGAGAATCAGGGCTTGGATTTCAATGCCCCAGCCCGTGGGGGGCTTACATGAGCTATGCAAACGGCACACACACGATAGAAATCAATGTGACTGACGCCACCGCTTAGAACAACCGAGATCGCTCTCCTGGGAACGGCGGTAAAAATTTAGGGAAGGAAACGTAACAATACATTCACAGACATGAGTCAAATCTCATTTCCTTCGCAAAAACGCAGCTTGAGCCGCTGCTGTAATCACTGTCCTATTTAATTTTCCACTATTGAGTGGAAGTCCATTAGAAATACAGTCGCAGGAACAATTTAATCAGTAGGTCACATTCGAATCATGTCCCTGTGGCTCTGATGGATTTTCCTTCAGGCATTTTTTGGTGTTAATGTTATTAGCCTTTCAGCAGTCCTGCCGAAATTGCTATCCGTGGGTGAGCCCCTGTGTTCGGCCCGTGTGGGCAGGACACCAAGGATGGTGACCCCAGGGGGCCAAGTTTGGAGGACCGGCGAACAGATGATGGTGATTTTTGAATATTGGGATTTTGATATGCAACAAAGTAGGGAGTTATTGTAGATCCTCGAGCGAGCAAGGGCACGAGGAGCACAGAATTCAGAAATTATTCCAGCAACGGTGTGAAGGAGTTAGAGTGCAGAACAGTCTCTTCTAAAATGCTGCGTCTTCTCATTACAGAACACTAGCAGTGGCCCGCACGGCCAGAGGACTGTTGCAGATAAGCATGTGTGTGCTCTTGGGATCTTTATAAAAGCAGCTGCAAATGTAACAAGACTTTTGCATGGAGGTAGTGAGGACTTTAATGATGAGTTTTCATTTTTGATTTTTGCTTTTTTTTTTCTTTTGAGGAGGGGAAGTGCTGGCCACTCCCCAAATTCCCACAACAGCCCAAACTGGGCTTATGCCAAAGCTGGGAGCCAGGAACTTAATCCAGAATGCCCGTGTGGGTGGCACGGACCCAATTACTTGAGCCATGGCCCCTGCCTCCCAGAGCATGCTTGAACAGCTGCTGGCATGGGGAGCTGGAGACAGATGTGGAACCCAGGTACTCCAGCATGGGGTGCGGACATCTTAACACCAAGCCAAATGCGCACCCCTCATGAGGACTTTAAAGAAAGAAACCAGTGCACACACTGAAGTCGATAGGAGGGAATGTAAGTTAAGAGCAGAAAACAGTCTCTGCCAGGATGTGTTGGATAGTGTCTGTGTTTCACAAGGGTCTGGTGTCATCGAGGCCATGAGGACCCTTCCTTTGTTCTGCACACGGGAGGCTGTGTGTGTGACGCAGGGGAGGCGCAGAGCATGCACAGCCCCTGGTACTTTCTGGTCAGGAGGAAGAGAAGGGAGCACCCTAGCAGTGACCAGGGCTCAAGTCTGTAGACAATGCAGAGAGCCTCCCGGGCCAGGAGGGAGGGCTCAGGAAGGCTTCGTGGATGACAGGTGACAATGACCTGAAGGGAAAAGCTAATGAGGACTGGAAGACTTGGGCAGGAGGGCTGCTCTGTTTTAACCCATTTTCCCAAAGCCCATCTGGAAAGTGTGTAGCCCGGTTTTTGTACAGACAAGGACTAACCGTTCTTTGATACTCCAAGCTCATTGGCATCAGGCAGAATCCCGTCCAGCTTCCAGTGTAGCTCTTCTGTCGGCCCACGAGCTGTTAGAGTCTTTATGCATCCCAGGAGGCCGTGTTAGCGCTGCAACCCCTCCCGACCCGGCCACTGATCCGTTTCCTGTTCTGCCTTCCAGCATATGATCGCAGACACGGTCCGGACCCTGAGACACTGCAGGGCTAACCAGTTTGGTGAGTAAGCAAAATCAGCTGTGGCCTGTGCATTGGTAGCTAGAGTGGCTGTGTACGAGTCTTTGGTGGTAACAGATTTAACAGCTTGTAAAGTGTAACACGTCTGTATAGCAGGTGCATGTTGTATGCCTGTCTCAGTTTCCTCATTGCATGGGAGGTGCTAAAGACAGCATCAGGTGGATGGTTGTCCCTGTATTGGTGACTTGATGGTGCCCAGAGGGACTTGAGACAGTCTGAGGCTCCTCACCCCAGCCCTGGCCAGAGCTGAGCTGATCCAAAGCCAGGAGCCAGGAGCTGCTTCTTGGGTGCAGGGTCCCAAGGATTTGTACCATCCTCTGCTGCTTTCCCAGGCGCATTAGCAGGGAGCTGGCTCAGAAGTAGAGCAGCTAGGACTTGAACCGGTGCCCATATGGGATGCTGGTGCTGCAGGCCAGGGCTTTAACCTGCTGTGCCACAGCACCAGCCCTGAAAAGGAGAATTTTAAATTCAGGGCCTGGTTATTTGAAAAACTCAAGTGCATTCATACCACTGGATATGTGCCTATGTAATTCTCCACTAGGTATGCAAGTGCAGTGCCGGGGTAAGAGAGACCGTGATCATGACGTTGTCGTGGAGGTTTGGTACCCGTGTGAGCGTGGTGTTGCTGGGAGTATGGCTTCATGCTTCCTCCACCCACTGCTTCCCAAGTATTTACAGTTTGGTTAGCTAACGAGCTGTGCGACATCGATGTCCCCTACTAAGGGGCTTCGGTTTGCATCTGCTCCGAGAATGGGCAAGGAAGGTTATCGTGGTGTGGCTCTCCTCAACCTCTCAGTCACCAAGTCACTCTATGGTTCTCCCATGTGGGTGGCAGGGGCCCAAGTACTTGGGCCATCTTCCGCTGCTTTCCCGGACCATTATCAAGGGAGCTGCATTGGAAGTGGAGCAGCTGGGACTTGAACTAGCACCCCTATGGGATGCTGGCCCCACAGGTGGTGGCTTTATCTAGTATGCCACAATGTTGGTCCCTGTCTGAATCCATTTTAACAGTTTATATGGTCATAGTAAGTCAATGTCAGCATTTGGGATAAAATACGCTGATGTTAATCAAGTCCCATGTAAATTATAAAGTCAGTGGCCGTGGTTGGCATTGTTCACTGGGCTGTTATTTTGAGGCCTGCAAAGTAACAACAAGATTATCTTTGGTAGCGTCTTGTTTTCCAAACCACTGTTTCCCAAACCAGGAGCAGGTCCTCTGTGCATTTCAGAAACATGGCCTAAACAAACAGCTTTTTGGTCACTTCCAAGCAGCAGGGAGAGGGGAGATGAAAAAGCCTTGTAACTCCTGGTCCTTTACCGCTCAAAGCTGGAAGCCTTATTTCCATAAAACCAAGGAGTGAAGCCACCCGTGACATACAGGTCTTAAGCGATTTCCTCATAAAACGCAGTTGTCAGAAAAAGAGAAAGAACAGGAGAAAGGTGACAATAAAATGCAAGAGGAAAATAAACTACCCTAAGATGCTGTCAGCCTGAGTGTCCGTGTTGCACTCTGCCTCGCATCCCGCGGAGTGAGAGGAGCTGATGGCACCACACTTCTGCGTTGGCCCGCCATGCACAGTTTGGCCAGTAGCTCCATGCCTCAGCTGCCTTGGGTTTTTGTTGGTTTTGACCTTGGTCCACGGGCTTGCACGGGCTTGCCTGGCATGCACGGAAGCCCATTGTGGCCCCTTGATCCTCTGCCTGCCCTGGGTTCACGAGTGGGAAACCCTGGCTGGGTCCTTCGAAGTGGACTTTCAGAACCTGCTCTGCCTGTTTGCTGTACTTTGCGTTCTGTTTCGTGGCATCTGTTGATGCAAATGGCCCGTGACTCTTTTTTTTCCAAAACAAGGGCACTAAAGCACTGACCAAAAATATAGTAACAGCAACAGTGATGACCTGTTGTGCTCATAGGCCACATAGATGATCTGTGGGTGATTTCTAGCTGTCTAGACCGAGGTACAAGAGCCAGTGCAGACAAATGCTGTACATGGCCACGCAGTGTGGGAACTCAGACCATAGGCACAAGAGCCATGGGGACCTGATGTTGAGCCCTGGCTGTGCCACTCGCTGGCTGTGACCGTGCTCGGTGTCCCGCCTGTGGGGAGGGCTCATAACCCAGCTTGTGGACAGTGTGTGACGTCAGGAACAGCAGCAAAAGATCTCTCCAGTCTGCTTACATCTAGCCTGGGTTGGAAAGCATTTCCACCTTAGGACCAAGGCACCTCTGGGACTCAGACCCGTGACAGCCTCCCTTGGGGTTTGCCCTGAGCCCTGACTGGGGGATTTGTGGTGTTTGGAGATGGCATTGCTGCTCCCAAGGCGCTGATCACCTCCTGCTCCTCCTCTTCTCTCCTCTGACAAACAGGAGGCGACCTGTCTCCGAAAGAGCATCAGGAATTGAAGTCCTACGTGCACCACCTGTACGTCATTGACAGCCAGCAGGCGCTGTTTGAGCTCTCGCACAGGATCGAGCCGCGGCTGTGAGCGCCGCCAGCCCCTTGCCGGGACGGCCGCACCCGCTCTGCTGGGAGGCGCGAGGTTGCTGAGTTTTATCAGTGCCCCACGAGACACTCACAGGAAAGCCAGCCCCAGCGTGCGCCGTGGGTGACCACGAAGAGAAGCTGCTCCGTGCCACTCCTGGGGTGGGAGGGCAGATGGAGCATCAGGAGCTGTCTTGAAATGGAGAAATCTGGGTTTCTTATGATCACGTTGTTGATTGAGTCCAGCTTTCGACTGAAGACAGGAAAACACGTCTCGACGTACCCTACCCCGGCATCTCTGGGCCGCCCACGTACAGCAGCAAGCACCCTCACTTTGCCTGGCTTGCAAACTTCCTGCTTACAAACTCTCAGAGTCCTCCTCTCGGCCACCTAAAGACAGCGATGGTGTCTCTAGGTCTCCAGGGAGGAGAGGGCTCTGTCCAGCTGAACCCAGGACAGCACCAACAGCTGCTTGTCTCTAGGGGTGAGTGCGGACCGGCTGCTGGCACCCATGCCCTGACGTGCCGCTGAGCAGTGCCAAGGCATGCGTCTCTTTGCATCCACAATCACATCGCAGCGTCTGCTCGCAGGTGCATTTAGTTCCTGTTCAACTGACTCGCAGCTCCAGGCAAAGCAGACTAAGTTGCTTTGCCAATAAGGAAGAAAATAGTCATCGCTAAAAAACGGACTCAGTGTTGAGTTCCTGGGGATTTTCTTGACCCCAAGGAGCAGGCTCTTCTCTGTGTCAGGCGGAACACGGTTTTGAAAAAGCACAGAGCCTGACCCCTTGTGGGCACGCGGCAGCTGCTGCTGGGCCGAGTCAGGCCTGCAGTCTTGAGCCTGAGGGTGCCCAGTGGTTTGCACACTTCGGGCGGGCTCCCTGCCCCCAGTATGGCTTGTGATCAGCTTAGCTGGCAGGGAGCAGGGCGAAGGGCCATTGGCTGTAGGGAGCACTTAGCACTCTGTCCAAGGAGGAGGTAAGACGCCAGCAGGGGTTGCTGGTCTTTGGCAAACATAAAGTGCCCAGATGCATCGTGGTGTCTGATTCACATTAGAGACCCCCCCAAGTCCTGTGGCCGCCTCGCAGCCACAACAGAGATTTTCTATACTTTAAGTCTTTGTTGCTACCCCTTGGTTTCAAGCGGGGACTCTGGTAGCAAACAGGATGAGGAGGGGTTGGAGAATTGCCCATACGCTGCAAATGAGCAGGCAAGCCCGTGTGTGCAGGTGTCGGAATCCACCTGTGCCAGCTACAGCTGTGTCGCTTTGCCAAGGTACCAGGGCCCTGCCTCTGGTATTCGATCCCATCATTGTCCACACCTAGGACCCTCAGCGTCCTTCTCTCCACGCCCCCATTCTTCTCTCGGCTGCCCACCCGCCCACACAGACCTGCTTGCTCCTGGTCTCGCCAGCCCCTCGTTCAGCTTCGTGGCTGATGGGGGCCCTGTGCCCTCTGAGGCCGTTTGTAGCCATGCCGCTCTTGGGGCTTCAGATAGCGCCAGCAGGAACCCCCTGGAGGAAATCTTCCGTGGGACGTTCAGAGAGACCCAGACTGGGCCAGCATGTCATACTCAGTCCTGTAGGACCGAGGACTGGCCACTCCCAGATCCGCTTCCTGCCACAGGAAGGGACCAGGTTTTGCTGGAGATTAGAGCCCTGGAGACCTGGGGGAGGAGACACCCCCTACCCCAGCTGCTGCAGCACTCCCTGCATCCTGCCCTTGGTAGCTGGTGAGGGTGACCTGTGCCTACCTGCTCTTGTCCTTTCTCTATGCTAGGGACAAGTCCATCAGCTGAGGCCGTTTTGGTGTCGCCTCAACATTCTAGAGTTTGTCTCTTCCTCGGCACTAGACCTACCCTGCTCCAGGTAGACAGCCAGCCACCTGGAGAAGTGGAGTTCTCAGGGAGCAACTGCTCCCGCAGGGCACCTGCTGCCTACACAGGGCGGACGTGCAACTTGGCCAGAGCGGGCTGCACGTACTTCATGTCAAAACGCTTGTCACCTGCTGCATCTCAGCAATCCCGCACGGCGTGGGTGGACGCGGGCTGGGGCGGAAGTGGCCCTGGTACAGCTTCCCCTCCAGCCACTGTCATAGGGCCTGCAGGATGACAAAGCCCAAGGGAGGACTTCGTTTTGTTGAGATTGCCTTCTCCCCTGCCCCTCCCACCCCTAGCCCGCCATCTGAATGTCTGAAATCTCTGGATCTTTTCTGGAATGTGTCCACTGTCTCCACTATTTCCCAAGTAGCAGCTCTCAGAAATTTCAGGGGGTGGGGGCAGGTGATGCTCCCCAGGAAGCTCTCTCTAAGGAAGCCGAGCTGAGAGCAGGCCATCAGGGAGGAGAGCTCCCAGGCTCCCTGTTTGCGGTATGGGCCTCTTCCATGAAGGTTTTGTCCTGACTCAGCAGGTGGCCTGGATGACTCAGCTCTTTTCTGGCTCTCCTTCGGGTTTTTACATCTCTATGCTTGTGACAGCACAACCATGGGCAGCCCCGAGGGTCTTTGTATTCATCCACAAACTAGCCCTGCTTCTAAGTTGGCACTGGGCAACCATCCTCAGGCTCCCATAGGCAAAATTGTAACTTTCCAATTTCTGTTTTTAAGGTTCCCCATACACATTCGCAGGTGTTCCACAGACTACTGTGTTTTGAATCCAGTCGTTGTTACACGATCTGTATAATTGCCAAGTGGTTTTAGGGATAAATATTAGGACTAGCATTCACTTTTTTTTTTTAGTATCTTTGATTATGTTTAGAATAAGTTCATTTTCCTAGACCACAGGGGGTAAGTGTGGAACATGCACTGAATTTGGAATCATTAAAGAAACAGCCACACCTCCGAGTCTGTAGATAGAGGATGCTACGCCAGTCCACACTCACCTGGGAGTGCGGGAGAAACAGGTGCACAGAAGAGGTAGCTGGTGATGACTCTTGGTCCCTGGGGCTGGACCTTCTCTGCTGCCCGAACCCAGCCCTGCAGTCCTGTTGGAGCCGGCGTGTGGACCACAAATCCCAAACAGGTGTTCCTTCAACGGCACAAGGAGTCCCTGCTCCTGAGAACCTGGGCGAAAACATTCAAACGCAGTCTGCCACACAGGATTTCTTGTCAAGTTTTACAGACATGTCCTTAAAATTTCAGCCTGCTTACTAGCGAGCACACCAGTCTTGCTTCAAACTGGTAGCGGGGTGGGAAAGGCTTTTAAACGTTGCCAAAAAGTATGATGAAAATGTACTACTGTGTAAAGCAAAGCTGTATATACTAAACGTTTTCTAGCAGAGTAATATTTATTTGCATAGCCTATTTATTGTATTCGTATTACACTGTTATTAAAAACTGGGATGAAATCCATGACCTGAAGCGAGGAGCCTTGCCTTCTCCCGTCTCGTTCACCAGGGCCGCTGTGACACAGTCAGCTTGCGTTAACGATTAGAAGACAGAAACCCCCGATCAGGGCGTCTACCTAACTTCTCAGGGACTACGCTTGTAGTTTTCCACCATCGAAAGAGCTGGTGAATATGAAGCTTTTGTGGAGTTACCAGCATTGCCATGAACAGTCCCCCCCCCCATCTTTCACACTTCCTGCCTCTGTATATAGGACCGTGCTGTGTATTCATCGAAGCTAGCAAGCAATAACTTAATATGTAAAAATGGCCAAGCAATATAAGGTGAACACATACAAGTAACGGTTACCTTATCTGTATTTTCAAGTGTTTTTTTTTTTTTTAACTGCTTTTCCAAATATAAGACTATGGTAAAGACACTCCTTGGGCCTCCTCATTGCTTGATCCGTGATGCTTGTGGGTCAGGTGGCCTGTGTTTTGGGGAGCAGGTGCTGAGAGCCCAGAATTTGCTCACTGAGAGAGCTGGAAGGCAGCCCGCTGAAGCCTGCATCGCTCTGCCACTGGCTTCCTGCAGAACCCAGATAGGACACATTGGCCATTGCATCCTGAGATTTCGGGATCCCACAGCCATTGTCATGGCCTCGCCCCACTTGGAATAGGACCAGGAATCCCCCCTTCCCCACCACTCCAATACCGAGAAACGCGCCGAGCCTGGTGGGGACACTGTGGCCCTGGCATCAGGAGACCTGCAGGTGCATAGAGCCGAGAAGTTCAAGGACACCAGGGAGTGTTCTGGTGGCTGCCGTTCAGGCCAAGGCGTCGCCATCAGTCTGGGGCTTGGGACAAAGGCGACATGGAACAGCACTCAGTGAAGGCCGGGGACACTGAGTGGGAAATAAAACCTCCTGGTGAGAAGCCACTGAGATCGATCGGGGAGGCAGGACGGAGCCTGAGCTAAGACAAGCCCCGGGGCGCTACCCTTGGTGACGTGCCACTCCCCTTGTCTTGGCACAGCGCCCACCGGCGGGATGAAGCCGCCCGGGGCCATCCATGCAGAGAGCTTGTCCTGATAAGGGCACCATTTTCTTGCGCTGTGAGTGACCTCCAGGAAGTGGCACTTCTGTGCAAGCAGGAGAGACGGGGAAGGAGCACAGGGTGTGGCCCCTAAGCCCGCTGCTGGGAGCAGAGCCAAGAGCACCGCTGATCTCGGCTGCTCCCGTCCTGCGTTCCTAATCCCTCCGTCCCCGGGGGCTGACCCTGCAGGGCCTTCCACGAGTCAGGAGCCATGCTGGAGGAGCTGGACAATGGGAGGCCCTGAGCTCCAGCTCTGGGAGGGAACTGGGAGAAGGACTCCTTATTCTCCACCCCTCTCCGTGGGTTGTGGCAGGGTCTCTGTAGTGAGCTTTCTTATTTTTATTATTTCAAAGGAGGAGATCAGGGGCCAGCACTGTGGCATAGCAGGTTAAGGCCACTGCCTGCAGCGCCAGCATCCCATATGGGCACTGGTTCAAGTCTCGGCTGCTCTTCCAGTCCAGCTCTCTGCTATGGCCTGGGAAAGCAGTGCAAGATGGCCCCAGTGCTTAGGCCCCTGCACCCACATGGGAGACTTGGAAGAGGTTCCTGGCTTCAGACCAGCCCACCCCTGGCCGTTGTGGCCATTTGGGAAGTCAACCAGCAGATAGAAGATCTGACTTTCTCTCTGCAATTCTTTCAAATAAATAAATCTTCAAAAAAAAAAAAAAATCTCCCATCCACTGGTCACTCCCCAAGTGTTCTCAGCAGCTGGGGCTGGGTCAGGCCAAAGCCAGAAGCTCAGAGTCAACCCGGGTCTCCCACGTCAGGGGCAAGGACCAAGTACTCAGCCGTCATCTGCTGCCTTGCAGGGTGTGCGCTAGGAAGCTGACGCCTCTGGCTGTTTCTGACACTCCAAGTAGGGGCCTAGGGACACCACACACCCCCGGCTGGACACTTCTCCTTGGTGCCGGCTGGCCTGAGGTCACCTCCGCTGTCGGGGGTCCCCTTTCCTGCTCACAGACTTTGGAGGAGCCCACGTGGTCTGTGCATGGTCAGAGTCTCTGTTTTGAGTTAGAACAGGAGTGAACATTATCATATCTGGAGAAAAAAAACAATCCCTTCAGTGGTCACCTTGTTCTTAGAGCCTTGATCAAAACAATGGCACAGGGAGACTCAAGCCTGGCCACAGTTGGCCCATGTCAGGGACTTAAGACACAGGGACAAGATCTTTGCCAAGTTGTGGGTCAACAGCGAGTGGCTCGCTCTCTACGATTGATTTGTTTGACAGGCAGAGTGACAGAGACAGAGGGAAGGACAGAGAGAAATCTTCCACCTACTGGTTCACTCCCCAAATGGCCAAAACAACCAGGGCTGAGCCAGGCTGAAGCCACGAACCTGGAAGTCCATCTGGGTCTCCCACATGGTGACAAGGACCCAAGTACCTGGGGCATCTTCCACTGCTTTCCCAGGGACATTAGCAGGGAGCTGGACCTGAAGCGCAGGAGCCAGGACTCATCCCACCCTCTGATCCAGCGAGCCTCTGTGGTGTGTGGTGCCATCCTCACCCCCACCCCCGGCCAAGTTCAAGTCCCGGAAACTCATGACTCCTCACCAAACCCTCTGCTTACCAAGTTCACCAGCCACCCCGTCCATCCGTGTCCGCACTCCCCTGCATGAGTCCAGTCCCTGGCTCTCTGGGACCCCAGCCATTCAGTGACCTCCCTCTTTGCTGTCCTCTCTCTCTGTTGCCCCCAATACGGTGTCCGAAACTGCCATCAAAAGAAATGGTTCCTCACTCACAGATCTCACCACGTTTCTCCCAGCATAAACCCCTTCAATGGCTCCTTCCAAGCTATAGAACCAACCCTGAATATCCTTCCTCTTATTCTCTCTGCTTACCTGCCCAGGGCCAAAGAGACAGGGCAAAGGCCCTCCAGAAAGAATTGGTACCCTTTGCAACCAGTATTCTAGTGGAGATAAACCAGTGCCCACTGAGCACAGCACGTTCCAGCATCCACTGAAAGCCTCACTGAGCCTTTGAGGGTGTTAAGTGTTGAAGGCAGGCTGGAGAGGGTGTGTGAGTGTGTGTATGTGTGTGCATGCACACACACTTTGGCCCTCATTGGAGGAGGCCAGGCCTCCAGGATTGCTTTCAGGATAAAGAGCTCTTCCCCCTCAAAGCCATGCAAACAGACCTACATCCCACCAGCAATTCAATCATCGGGTGAGGATGCTGCTGCTGGTGGTGGTGGTGGTGGTGGTGGGGTGGGGGTGTCTGGGGCCCCCTCCAGCCCACGACGCCGAGAAGGCCGGTGCAGCTCGGCGGTTGCACGAATGAATGGGGTTTTGTTGAGTGACCTCACACATGAAGGAAATAAGAACTGCTTGTGCCCCTTTTGTATTCAGTTGACCTGGGCTGGGCCTCAGAAGAAGCTGGAAGGGAAAAGGCCGTGGGAGGAGGCCGGAAGGCACCACCTCGCCCCTTCCCGTCCTGTTCCCCATGCTGACTCCGCAGCCCTGCCAGGGCTGACTGCCGCAAGAGATACAAAGAGCCCCTGCACTCAGCACCCCCAGGCCTGCCTGGCTGTCCCTGTGTTGCTGGCCTCCAGCCAGCGGGCGCCACCCAGCTGCAGCTCCCGGCTCCCTGCGGGGGGGACAGGGGATCGCAGCCCCCGGGCCCAGCCAGTCTCTTCTCCACCACTCAACCCGGGGCATCCAGAACGCCTTCCCTGCCTATCCAACAGGTACGGCCCGCCCCAGAGTTCCCTGGGATGACCCCATTTGGCACCGAGCCCCTAGCTGAATCCCCGCGGTGGGTCCCATGCATCCCACAGTGGGGAACGACCTCCGGTTCTCAAGAGCTGGCAGACGGGCGTGAGTTTCTCATTTGCTCTTGGCCACTGCTTCTCAGCTCATAGAGAGGAGGATGAAATGCCACTGAGGCCAGCAGGGGGTGTGGAATAAGACGAGGACGTCTGAGGGCTTCCCACGAAGACTGGAACTTGGCACCTTCAGTTAATGATCACTTCACCCTGGGACTTGCAGGGACCCGGGCAAATTTCTGCACTGCTCTCCTCCTGCTCCCCCTTCCGGGCAAACAAGGTCATTGCAGCGTCTCTTCCCCCGGGGGCCGCTGCGGGAGTGAGGGTCCGTCCTCCGTGCGCGCTACAGGGAGCTGCACGCGGGGTCGGCGACCTTTCGGAAGTGGCCCAGGTCTCCCCACGAGGCTGAGACAAAGCGATGGCTTCCTTGCGCCGGCTGGTTCCTCCGAACGAGGGCGCGTGCTGCAGCCTGCCAGGTCGGGAAACTGATGTGGGGCTGAGCGCTGTCGCAGTCGGGAGGGCGAAGGGCTGCTCAGAGCTCCGGCACGGCCTTTCCTAATACCGGCCTGAGAAGGACACAGGGTCTGGGGGGTCCGTGCGGAAGGGGTGGGGGTGCCCTCCGTGTTGGAGGAGTTCCATGGCTGCCTTCAGCGGCTGCTGTGCGAACACAAAGGCTGCGCCCGCCCGTCCTTCCAAGCCCAGAGCTGACACAAAGCCCCCTTTGTAAGGCAGAACAGCAGGAGCAGCCGGAAGGAGGGCCAGCTCACCAGAGCCTGACCGACAAGCCTTTGGTGTTTTTCTTCCTTAAGCAGAACAAGTAGCTAACTCCCCTGCCATCCACCTCCATTCCTGCCCCATGGTGGCGGCAAGTAAACGCTCATCCACAACAGGCTGCATCCGCTTCACCTGACATTTTATTGAGCATCTAATATATGCCAGGAACTCTTCCAAGTGACAGCCGAACAACCCAGAACAGAACCACTTGTGGGCCGGCGCCGCAGCTCAATGAGCTAATCCTCCACCTAGCGGCGCCGGGTTCTAGTCCCGGTCAGGGCGCCGGATTCTGTCCCGGTTGCCCCTCTTCCAGGCCAGCTCTCTGCTGTGGCCCGGGAGTGCAGTGGAGGATGGCCCAAGTCCTTGGGGCCTGCACCCCATGGGAGACCAGGAGAAGCACCTGGCTCCTGGCTCCTGCCATCGGATCAGCGCGGCGCGCCGGCCGCAGCGTGCCAGCCGTGGCGGCCATTAGAGGGTGAACCAACAGCAAAAAGAAGACCTTTCTCTCTGTCTCTCTCTCTCACTATCCACTCTGCCTGTCAAAAAAAAAAAAGAAAGAAAAGAAAAGAAAAAGAAAAAAAAGAACCACTTGTGCCTGTCTTCACGGGGCTGTGAGCAAACGACAGGGATAGACCACAGACAGGGCAAAGCCATCCAGGGCCTGGAGTGTGTCGGCTGGTTCTGAAGAGGCAACAGCTGGGACAGGCAGCACGTGTGGAACCACAAGGTCACCAGAAGGTCTTTGTTATGGGTTAAGGTATTCCCGCCCACCCCACCAGCCGCCAGGAAAAATCTGTATGTGAAGTCCTTACCCCCAGTACCAAAGTTTAGGGCCATTTCTGAGATGGGTGGCTTCAAGTTAAAGAAGGATTACTAGGTCTGGCCCTAATGCAGTCCGGCTGGAGTTCTACTGAGGGGGAAATTTGGAGACAGACAGACAGGGAGAACTCCAGGGAGCATGAAAACAATGGTGTGCAAGCCAAGGAGAGAGAGAGGGAGGGAGATGGAGAGGGAGGGGGAGAGAGAGAGAGAGAGACTGAGTCTGCCAACTCCAGGATCTCAGACCTGCAGCCCCCAGGACTGTGAGATGGTGAACTCTCTCCTTGGAGCCATGCCATGGCTGGTATTCTGTTAAAGCAGTCCCAGGAGACTAATACAGTCATGCTGGGAAGACTTGAAGAAGGTCAGGGAAGCAGCCACACAGGCATCGGGGAGGGGGGAGGGAAGCTTTCCAAGCAGTGGGAACAGCAGGTGCACAGGTGCTGAGGGTGCACCTGGGGTTTAAGGACCAAGCAGCAGCCTGGTGTGGCTACAGCCAGTCAGGGAAGGGAGAGAGGTGGAGGAAGTCAGAGAGAAGTGGGACCAGGTCAAGCCTTGCTCTAAGCCAGAAAGGAAGCCACCTTGGAGGTAGCAGCTTTGAGGGAGGGCTCAGTTCGGCGGCATTGGTTTCTGATGTGGAAAGCCAGGGCTTTCGACAGACAGCAGTCATGGAGAGCCCTGGCAGCTCTGCCAGCCGAGAGCTGGGGCACTGGAAACAGAACTGCCCTGGAGTCGGGGGATGCCCAGGTCCGAGCTGTAGATCTTGTTGGCTCTAAGCTGAAAAGCCCTTCACTCGGCCCAGCTTCCAAAGTAGCCACTGCTGTTGCGGGGATGGCCTAGGGGCAGTAATGTTGCAGGCAGAACTGTGAATTTCCTTGTAGAAATGCCACCTGCCTGCTCTTCAGGCCAGCTCTCCTCCCAGGCCAGCTAGGTAGTGGGAGTCAACAGGGTGCCTTCCCTACGGAGCTTCACAGCTCCCCTAATGATGTCTTCCAGGACCCCATGTGAAGAGACAGATAGGTCTGGACCCATATGTACCTGGCAAGGCCTTCACACCCACCTGGTTATTATCAAGCCCCTCCCTGTCAGCTTCTATGTTTCTATGCATGGGGAAAACTTTCTTAGGTCCTCTAATAATGACTCTGTCCTTTGTTTTAGACTCTGTGTCTATAATCTGCTTGTTAGATTCGTTTTCTCCAGACTTGAAACTGAAATTCTAGAAGGCCAGGCACACGAAACCTGGGATGGAAGCAGTTTCTGCGAGCTGGCGCTGCGTCTCCCTCAAGAGGCCACCTCCTGTGGGAACCCTGTCTTGACTGCTGTTCCCTACTTGGCTTGAAGAAGCCAGAGTGGTTGCCGTCCCGTACCCCTAACAGAAGTTAGGGTCCGTTCCTCTAGGGGAGGAAGGTGAGGAGTCAGACAAGTTAATAGGCAGTCAGGTTGGTCCTGATGAAAACTGGGGGTGCAAAGCGCTTGCTTCCCCCAAGAGTTATCTTTAGCAAGGTCAACAGTGCCTGCCCGCCCATTCCTTGGGAGCTTCCAGTTTTATCTTGAGAATAGCAAGGGAGTGGTGATTCCACCCTCCTCAGCTCAGTTTATTGTGAAAACAAGTTACCTGTACCACCCTTCAGATGGGTTTTTGTTTTATCGTGAACAAGCCAGACAGAGCAAATAAGATTAAAATCAGGTCTTTTGATGGGTTTTGACCCCACTTTATAACTAATGAATGAATGTCAGGTTTTTTCCCCAAAATTGTGCTTAAAAACCCCACCACCAGCAGCCCCTTTGGGATTTGCCTCTCTAGGAAGCCCCCTCCTGGCCACTCCTCCAGGAGGTCTCTGACTTAAATAAATATATATTTTTTAAAAGCTTAGTTTGGGACATGTGTGGTTTGAAGTCTCCGAGAGGCCTGAATCGGAACCCAGCAGTAATCTGGATGTCACACAGTGACCTTCAACCCCATGCATTTCTGGGATTTCATCATGGTCAAAGTCAATCTCTGAGCCAGAGGGCAGGAGGAACTCACGATTTTGATTGACAGCTGACATAAGGTAAACAATGATGCTCCAAACCTCCAGACGCAAGCTGGAAGCAGTCCCAGCTCAGGATGTGGAAGGAATCAAAGAAGCTTCAGAGAAGGCATTTAGCCTAGAGGCTGAGACGCCTGCAAACCACACTGGCATGCCTGGGTTCAATTCCTGCCTCCAGCACCCTGCTAATGCAGACCTGGGGAGAAAGTGGTAATGACCGAGTAACTGGATCCCCACCCACATGGGAGAGCTGGGTTGAGTTCACACCTCCCAGTTTTGATCTGGCCATGGTGGGCATTTGGAGGAGTGGACCATTCAATGGGAACTCTGTCTCTGTGTCTCCACCTAAGGCAGCATTTGGATGTGGGTTAGATGTGGTCTCGTAGGCCCCTATGTTGGAAGTGTGGCCCACCAGAGTGTGATGTGAGACGAGGTGAACTTTGGAGAGCTGCGGCTTAGAGCAGGTGGCTTGGTCATGGGAGGGGCTACCCTTGGAAGGGGTTAATATAGTTCTCACGGGCCCCTGGTCAGTTCCCAGTGGGTTGTTACAGAAGTGCAACCCTGAACCTCTCTGGCTTCCTGTGCTGCCATATGTGCTGCTCACACTCCCCCCATGAGGCCACGTTGTGGTGCAGCCAACAGGGCCCTCACCAAGGCCAAGTCAGTGGGCTGCCCAGTCTTGGCCTCTCTGCCTCCCATCCACTCAGCTGAAGACTCATCTTCCAGTCTTTTGTTATAACAAGGGCCAGTGAGCTGCCACAGGCAGGAGGACGTCTCACAAGTGGTCACAGGGCCACCCCGGGCTCATGACTTCCTCTGCCAGCCATGCCTTCAACCTGGACGGCACAGACCCGTTCAGTGGCTGCCTCCTCGTTCCAGCTTTCCTTCCTGGAAAAAAAGATTGCACAATGCAGAATTGCAATTTTATCATTACAGATTCTGGAGGTGCTGGAGAGCCCACAGGAGACACAATGTGCCTGGAAGATGTCGAGGGAGAGACTTTCGAAACAACCTCGAAATGCCCCCAGGCAAACTCTCCAGCTATGGGAAAGAACATTCGAGACCATCCCTTACTTTTGCACTTTACCATCTTCTGTCCTGAAGACAATCCTGCCAGAAAGGAATTTCAATCTACAAAGCACTCAATGCAGCATATAATTCTCATTAGTTACTTAATGAGTCTGTGTTGACTGAGGAGGTGTGTGCCACCAGCAGGACCAAAATGTGAGTCATTAGCGACACCTGGCGGGCACTCAGGAGCCCCGGGCACAATGGAAACACCTGTTCTCCAGAAGCCTGGTTCAACCCAGCAGTGTGGCTTGGCCCCAGGCAAAACCTGTGTACAAGTAGTGAAGCAGCTCCTAGCTTTCCTGGGACCTGGTCCAGTGGGTGGCTATTCCCTGATTTTACAACTTAAGGCAGTCTCTCTCTTTCTGTCTCGCTCTTACTCTCGCTCTTGCCCTTAATTACAGAAACCAAGCAGCTGGGGCAGAAGTAGACCCAGAGAGTGCCCACACCTGAGTGACCCAGGCACTGACCTCTGTTCTCTGCAAAGGGGAGGAAGGTGAAAGCTAGTCTGGAAGGAATCAGGTAAGTCTCCCCTGCTCCCGAGAGAGTTAAAAGGCCCAGCGGGGTTTAGCAATGTCTCTGGCTCCCCGCGTCCCTGTCCTGCACCCCAGGGGGACACCACACCGTGCTCCACTTTCCAGGCAATGTACTCCGCGCCTGGGACAGCATCAGCCGGGCGCCAAGGCGCTGCTGTGTTCAGCCGGAGGATCCGTCTGTGAACTTGGCCATGCTCCAGGCCTTGTGGCGCTTCCAGGGGAGGTCACACACGTGCTCCTGCCCCGGGTTGCAGGGGTCCTGGCCCCCACGCCTCACGGGACGCCCCTCTACCCAGGCCTCCCTCACGCTGGATTTAGTCCCCCCAATGCAGTGACAGCCTCTGTACTGGGGGGCCTTATCCCCCTCCTCATCTAATTATCGCTTCCTGGAGCAGCTGTTAGTTTCCCCATGGATTTGTCAATGTTCAGGCACGTGGTGGGGATGGGTATTTGTGTGGCTGTTGGAAAAGCTGCAATTTCCCATGCAGGGTTGGGGGGGCAGGGTGAGCACACAGGTCTCACAGCGCTGTCACCAGCCGGGCACCTTCACCAACACAGGGCCACGCTGCCTGCTGGGCTGCAGGTGTCGCGAGAGTGGAGATACCCACCACCCACTGGAGTGAGGGTCCCGTGGCACTCCCGGGGGATCCAGAGAGGTCCCCATAGGCTCCTCTCCTATGCTGGCGTCTGCCCGCCTCAGGCACTGGGAGCTGTCCAGGTGCATACCTTTGCGCTTAGGCTAAGGTGAATCCAAGTTCAAGTTCCCAGAGCAGGTTCCAGGCAAGCCACGCCGGAGGTCTGTGCCTGCAGTGATGGCTCTCAGAGGTCAGGGACCCCCTTGAGCCCATTCACTAATGAGCGCTGTCTGGAGCCCTTACCCTCAGCCCAGTGATGTGACAGTCCTGCCCCGGTCTCACCTGGCTGGCTGGCACAGGTCTAGATGAGCTAGGCACAGCCCCAGCCTCTACTGCAATGGTAGAGCAGCCCCTTATAAGCTTCTAGAAAAGCCTATGGCTGGCCAGAGGAGCAAGGGCTGGATGCACGGGAGCCCAAGGATGGAATCTGATGGGCAGAGCCCTTTCCCACCCATGAAAGCGCCTTGGCAGCAGACCCAGAGGGAAAAGGAGGAAAAACCATAGGCTTCCCACCCATGAGTCATCCACACGGCCCTGGCATCGCCCTGGGCCCCTTTTGTTTCTTTGGCTCGGGTGGAGTTTGATGCTGGGAGCAGCCCTGTTTCCCAGTGTGCACCACGATGCCATGTTCCCTGCCCCCTCAGAATCAGCCCAGAAGGGACCAGGGACAAAGCACAGACAGGGTCTGGAAGACAGGAGGTCTCCTGCAAACCCCAGATGAATGGCGCTTCAGAGGCGGCAGGCGCTGGGGCTGGAGGCGGGGCCGTGCCTGGCCGCCCCATCTCCAAACACACCTTGCATTCTGCAGGTGCCATGTTGTTTTGGACCTGGAGTTGTTGGTTTGTTTGTTTGTTTGTTTGTTTTGTTTTGTTTTGTTGTCGCTCCCCCTCTTCGTGGAGGAACGACACTAAGTCCTGCCTAGGCTTCATATCCGAGTCACGGCACCATTATGTCGCTCCCCCTCTTCGTGGAGGAACGACACAGGACCCTGCGCTGTTCTTTCATCTGCTCGGCCCTCCCCGGGTTTGCTGCTGGTTCTTCCCGGGTTGGCTACTATCCCTTCCACCTCCGTGGAAGGGCAGCTCCCCCTGGCCGCATTCCCCACTTCCGCAGGGGAGCGGCACACCGCCGGCCGGCTCTCTCGGGGGCTGCACGGGTTCCCTTAGATGTTCCCCATAGATATTCCCGGTGCATGCCGTTTCTCTCCTCCTTTATAGTCCTCCTCCGCCAATCCCAACTCGGCTGCCCACACGCCGAGTACGCTGCTCTCCAATCAGGAGCAAGTCCTACAGTTTATCAGTTGAACTGGAGGCAGCTGTGCGGAAGCTGTTTACTTCTCTCCCAGCGCCATATTGTGGGAGAGCAGATGCATAGAATAAGTCTTAATTCCAGTAACTCAGTCCAGTCCGGGCTGCTCCCCACATTTTGTTTGTTTGTTTGTTTGTTTGACAGGCAGAGTGGACAGTGAGAGAGAGACAGAGAGAAAGGTCTTCCTAGCCATTGGTTCACCCTCCAATGGCCGCCACGGCCGGCGCACTGCGGCCAGCACACCGCACTGATCTGATGGCAGGAGCCAGGTGCTTCTCCTGGTCTCCCATGGGGTGCAGGGCCCAAGTACTTGGGCCATCCTCCACTGCCTTCCCGGGCCACAGCAGAGAGCTGGCCTGGAAGAGGGGCAGCCGGACAGAATCCGGCGCCCTGACAGGGACTAGAACCCGGTGTGCCAGCGCCGCAAGGAGGAGGATTAGCCTATGGAGCCGCAGCGCCTGCTGGACCTGGAGTTTGACTGCTGTGGGGTGAGCCGGGGTCGGGGAGACTGACGGAGAAAGAGGCATCCCTCTGGGCTGTGGACACAGCACTTTCTGCATTTCTTGTCCCGGGACTAGGCCATCTTAGGCTACAGGACAGGGAGGAGGCGTGGCCAGGCCAGGTCGCCATGGCACTGAGTAGTAACTGCCTCCTCAATGGCAACTTTGTTCATCCATTCATCAAGATGTGGGTGAGTGGGCAGGCTTATCGATTTTTTTATTTTTTTTTACTCCAGGTCCTTTTCACGCACAAAGACAAGGGCTGATATATGTAAGGTGCATTTTATTCAAAAAGGGAGAAAGAAAATACATTACACACACACAGATGTGAGCATGGGTTGCCCCACACAGGTACCGATCATGGCTGGGCAGTGGGCCAGGAGGTTTGCCAGAAAGAAGGGGTGGGAGATGGGAGGCAGAGAGGGTGACTGGCAATGTGAGAGAGAGAGAGTGAGAGTGTGTGTTTGTGTGTGTGAGAGAGAGAGAGAGAGAGAGAGACCCTCCCAGTTGTAGGCCTCCTTAGCTAGCTCCAGGCCTCTGCAGGTGTGAAACCACCCAGGAAATATGTGGCACTCCCACAAGCTACGTGGAGCTCCATATCTATATTTGCATGGTATCTTCTTCTTAGGTCCGGAGTGAAGCAGGTGCACCCTGGGAAAGGGGGTGTTTTGATTGACAAGCAGGAGGATAGACTTTCACATGGGGGCTGGTGACTTCCAGCTCGGCAGTCCTAAACTTACTTCCTGCCTATTTCGTCCCACATCAGTCGCATAATCAATGAGCCCACGGCCTGGCAGCAGGCGTGGAGACACACAAGACCCAGTCCCTGCCCACGGGCAGGACACAATGGAGGACAGTGAGCAGAGGCGGTGGGGACTAGAGGCAAAATCAAGAGGCCGTGTGGCTGGGACTGGGGCTTTTGCATCAAGTGCATAAATGCAGGTGTGCGTCCTGAAAGATGCCCACGAGGGCAGGTGCCCCCTGGGAGCTGGTGTTCCAGGTCACTGACACCTCGGATGTGCTTTCCAAAGGGGATACAGGAAAGTGGGCAGGGCCGTGGGTGTGTCTCAGGCCCTGGATGCTCTCCCTGCACGGTCCCTTCCTCTGTGCATTTTTATTTTTTTTTGACAGGAAGAGTGGACAGTGAGAGAGAGAGAGACAGAGAGAAAGGTCTTCCTTTGCCGTTGGTTCACCCTCCAATGGCCACCGCGGCTGGCGCGCTGCAGCCGGTGCACCACGCTGATCCGATGGCAGGAGCCAGGTGCTTCTCCTGGTCTCCCATGGGGTGCAGGGCCCAAGCACTTGGGCCATCCTCCACTGCACTCCCTGGCCACAGCAGAGAGCTGGCCTGGAAGAGGGGCAACCGGGACAGAATCCGGCGCCCCAACTGGGACTAGAACCCGGTGTGCCGGCGCCGCTAGGTGGAGGATTAGCCTAGTGAGCCGCGGCGCTGGCCCCTCTGTGCATTTATGTTCCCAGCACACCGGCACACAGTTCGTAAAATATGGAATGTACATGTTTATTTTGAAGCAAAAGAATTTTGAAACCCATGCATATTGGAAAATGTGCGTTTCCATGAACTTTTTGAGGCATCCTTGTGTGTCTGTGTATGTGTGTGCATGTGTGTCTTTGTCATGTGTATGTGAAAGTATGTTTTACTACTGTGTTGGTATAAAGATGCATATAATCCAGAGGAATGACATTAATTTCTTTATTTTGGGTAAAAAAGTTAGAATCTCTTCCTGGGCCCTGAGAGGGCCCTGCATCCAGAGCTTGACGGGAAACCCGCCCCAAGTACCGACAGTGGGCTGGGGCGGGCTCTGTTCACGTGTGGGCTTTAGGCGCCCTCTAGTGGCTCCCGTGCCCACCAGGCTGCAGAGCCTCCTCAAGCCCCATGGAAATCTTCACTCTTAACTGCTTGAGCCGGGTCCCAACTGCCCACCCCTGGGCTTGGAGGCTGTTAAATTGGCAGGCAGCTAAGGGGGACTGCAGAAGCACAACGAAAGCCCAGTGGCGGCCAACTTGGGGAGGGGAGCCGGCAGGTGGATCTTCTCACCTGACTGTTCAGGGCAATCCAAAGCAAATTTTAAAATAGGGAAAACAAATAACAGGGTTTTTTGTGGGTTGTTTTGTTTTATTTTATTCTACTCACTCAGTCTTTCTTGCTCTCTTCTCTACCTCCTCCTCTATCGATAGGCTAAAGTGGTCCCCATTTGGTAAGTGGCCCATCTGCCCCCATTGACAACTGGGAATGGTCCCCTGGTGGCTGCCATCACAGCTGGTCTGTGGAGTCGGCTGGGACAGGTGCAGGTGAGCTTTCCCCACCTTCCCCACGTCAGCCCAGTGTCTCTTCCTTCCGAGCAGCTGCAGGAGAGGGAAAAGTCTAGCCTGTCCTGTGTTTACGGATGGGCCAGGCTGGCATGTGTGTGCAAGTAGAAAATGGACAATGACCGCATTGCAGCCCCGTTCCTGGGTGACCTTAGAGGACAGTGGGAATGGAAAATCCCTCAGAGGAAAGCACTTTGGGAAGTGCCCCAGATACAAAGAGCATTGGAGGTGATGGCCAGTGGAAAATGGCCAGCTGATCAGAGCTCTGGAGGGAGAAAGACTGGGGCTGTGGGGCCGAGGAAGCGGTGGGAGGGACTCGGGGGACTGGGCACAGAGTGTGACTCTCTTTGCATCACGCGTCAACGCCCACAACCTCGCCGCTCCAACCCTCCCACCTGCTGAAGCCTCTGCTGAAGTGATGGCTCAGGGGTGACACCAGGCAAAGCCGAGGACCCAGCATGCACTGCGTGTGCTGCTGCCTCCCGGTGGGAAGATTGACAGGCCTCCCCAATGACTCCTGTCATTAACTCCTCCTGGAAGCATCGGGCTGGCTCTCTCCACACCTCAGGCTGACTTGACTTCCCAGGGGCCTCATCACTCTACCTGTCCAAATTTGGTGGTAAAACTTCCATCCTGTTCATTTTGAGCACTCCCCTGTCACATCCCTTTCAGGGCAGGGTAGGGTCCCACGATCTGGGGGTACAGGGCTGGGGTGGGGACACCTCTGTTCCTTTCTCTGTGCTCACCTGGTCGGGGAGAAGAGACAAGCTGTAGTCTGGGGGTCCCCAAGGCCACCTTCAGCTTTGATGAGTCCTAGAACCCAGAACCAGCCGTGTACTTGCAGTTACAACTCAGAGCCACATTTGGAGCTGAAAGCCAGCAAAGGGAAACAGCACAGCCAGGAGTCTGCGAGAGAGAGGCCATGAGTTTCCATGGGCCTCTCCCAACAGTCTTGGAACAGCAGCCACTCCTCGCAGAGCATTGCTAGCCAGAGAACCCATGCAAGCCTCCATGCCCAGGGCTCTCACTGGGGTCAGTCACGTGGCTCACTTTAGTCTGCAGCCCTTAGAAGTCAAGGTGACCCCAGATGGCCCAAGGCATCACCAATCACATTAACACCATGGACCTGCCATGGGCCAAGGGCTCCAGGTACACAGAGACACTGTTATCATGCAGAACATGCCAGGGACTTCCTTCCTGGGGACTTAGCAAGGCTCAAACCTGTCCTTGGGCGAGGCTAATCCTTTTCTGGCTTTGCATGGCTGCTCATGGCAGCTGCTGGCCACCCTTGCCAGCTTAGCTCATTGTAGGTTAGGATAGCCCTATGGATCTGCAGAATCTAGGGACTTAATTCTCTTCTGTTTCCTAAAGCCATTGTTACCCCACCTCCATTCTGAAATTTCTGGGGTCAAGAATGGTGATCTCCATCAGTATTCCATATCATCCTGTTACCATAGCAACATAGAATGTAACACTGAATTCAAGACATAATTGTCTAAAAACAAAAACAAAAATCCCTTGGCCATTGTTCCATAATGCAGCCTTCAGCTTCCGGCTGGATTCCTCTTCTACCTCCCTTTTGGGAACAAAACCAATTCATCCAGTTTCTGCTGTCTCTGTCCCCACCCCTGAAGTCCAGCCCCAGGCCATTAAATCAACTGAGGAAGGTGGCAGAAGGAAAAGGCTTTTCGTTTTTCCAGGATCCACTCAGAAGGCGCTGACACTCGTGGATGACGATTTCTTCCCTGTGTTACAGTCGCCGTGGCATTATTCACCATCAGCCATGGGGGAACCCCTCCTCAGCTGAACCTGCTGCTGCTGCCAGCGCTCTGCACCAACTGTGGTTTGCTCCCTGGATTCTGGTGGTGAAATCTCAGTGGGAACAAAGCCTCGTTGAGTTTTTATTGAGTTATCATAGGTTCTCAATGGCAGGAGTGTGGGATGGTGGTGTCAGGCTAATATGCCTTTGTGATGAAATCGTGCCACCCCGGTTTATTGCACATTTTGTTGAATAGCATTGATTTGAGTTGTTCAGTTGAATTGCTTTGATGGATGAAATGTGGCTTTCTACATACTGAGCTTTCTGTTGCTACAGCTTGAATATTAGTTTGGATGTCTCCCAAAGACCCATGTGTTAAAGGCTTTGTCCCCAGAGTGGGGTGCTATTGGGAGGGGACGGAGTCTTTAGGAGGTGGGGCCTGGTGGGAGGTCCCTAGGTCATTGGAGGATGCCCCCTGAAGGTACTACTTGTGAGAGGCAGGGTTATAAAAGTGGAGCCAGTCCCAGCCGGTCTCCCTTCTTCCTGGCTTGCCACAGGCTCTTTTCTCAGCACATGCTCTGTGTCACTGCCACCTGCTACCTTCATCAGAGACCGAAACAATGGGCTGCCCCATCTTGGACTTAAACTTCTGAGACTGTGAGCTAACTGAACCTTGTCTCTTCATGAAGTTAGTTTCCTTGAGTATTTCATTATAGTCATGAAAAGCTAATACAGCCCCTAAAACCAGCTGAGGGTACTTGCTTTGCATGGACAGCACTCCCTGTGTGACTGGAACATCACAGATGCACCTGTCCCCTGCAGGGCAGGCAGTGGTCCTGTCCTTGAAGCCAAGGCACAGAGCCAGTGAGAGTGCCTGGGCCACCACAGCCATTGAGTGTGAGGTGGACCTAGGGACATTGCTATGATCTGAAAGGGAATTGAATAAGATGGCTCAAAACTTTATCCTTCTTAGAATTTATACCCAGGAGAATCTAAAGCAGACATGGTACAGCTATGAGAAGGCATGGAGTTACAAGCACTGGCAAGATTTCAATACAGCATACAGGTGGCTTCCTGAATGGACAGTACTCAGGTTGTAATTCTCCTATGGCACTTCTTACTAATTTTGCTTTATATTCTCTTTTGCTAGTGACATACAATAAGGCAACGAAACACGCACTGGAGAATTGGAGACTCAGCTTGTGTGCAGTCCCTCCACCCTCTGCCTCGCTGCCTCCCTGGGCTCTCAGCCTCTGCTCACCTGGCCCCTGCTGTCCCAACCCCCCATGGCCTCCCCTTCCTTATCCTTCCTACAGCTGCCCTCCCTGTCCAGCAGGTGCCTGCACCTGGACATGTGGCGAGTTAGGAGAGGACACATGTGCCCTTCTGCATCCTGGGGCAGGGCATGGCAGCCCCATCCCCACCCTGGGCTCCCAGCATCATGGCCCATTTGGAAGTGACTTGGCAGGAGTGAGCCTTTTATCCAACCCCTATCCTATACCGAGGTGTCCCAACATGGAAGTCTCCATACCACTGGGGAGTCATCCATGCATCGTGGGTTGGTGTGGCTGGCTCAGGGGAAGTGCACATGTATGACTGAACTTAACTGTCTCAGGCTGTGACATGGTGCATTGTAACTGACAAGGAGGAGGGTCACATGTACCAATTCTCCTAGGGGCCTGTGGATGTTCTGGGTGAGACTGAGAAGAATGTGTATTCTGCTGGTGTTGGACAAAGTGTTCTATAGAAATCAATTAGATCCAGCTGATTGATAATGTTATTAGTTCAACTATATCCTTACTGATTTTCTGCCTGCTCTGTCATTTACTGAGAGGTAAATAATAGATTCCTCTATGCTCATATTCTCTCTGTGGTCCTGTCAGTTTTTGCTTTATGCATTTGGGCACTCTGTTGTTTGGTACATATGTGTTAGGTACTGTTAATGTGCCCTTGGAGAATTGACCTTTTAATCTTTTTTTATAACACCTCCTCTATCCTTTATAATCTTCCCCTCTCTAAAATCTACTGCTCTCATATCAAAATAGCTTTCTTCAATTAAGGCTAGTATGGTATATATTTCTCTATCTCTTTACTTTTCATATATGTCTTTAAGTTGGGCTTCTCATAGAAAACATATAATTGCGGCCGGCGCTGCGGCTCACTAGGCTAATCCTCCGCCTAGCGGCGCCAGCACACCAGGTTCTAGTCCCGGTCGGGGCGCCAGATTCTGTCCCGGTTGCCCCTCTTCTAGGCCAGCTCTCTGCTGTGGCCAGGGAGTGCAGTGGAGGATGGCCCAGGTGCTTGGGCCCTGCACCCCATGGGAGACCAGGAAAAGCACCTGGCTCCTGGCTCCTGCCATTGGATCAGCGCGGTGCGCCGGCCGCAGCGCGCCGGCCGTGGCGGCCATTGGAGGGTGAACCAACGGCAAAGGAAGACCTTTCTCTCTGTCTCTCTCTCTCACTGTCCACTCTGCCTGTTAAAAAAAAAAAAAAACAAAACAAAACAAAAAAAAAAACATATAATTGCATCTTGGCTTTTATTTATGATGTCTTTTAACAGTTAACATTTAGACTGTCTCTTGGAATATTCATTTCTCTCTTTCTAGCATTATTTTACCTGTAAGTTACACCTTTTGTAATTGTCACACTTTTCCCTCCTTGCATTTTCCTTTCAGCGTTCTTTGTTTCCCTTAGGGAGTTTTTCATTTCCAGCCTTTCCTTCTGATGCGTCCTTGGCGTTCCCACCTCTCCACTTGTTACATAGTATCATGTTCACTTTCTCCTCGAGAACCCACCACAGATTGGCCATGCGTGTTTTAAATCCCCAGTCGGATCATTACAGCACCTCTGCTGAGTCCGAGCCAAGCCTCCATCTCTACAAACGGTGTCTCCTAGCTTTTAGTGTGCCATGATTTTTTGTCACAAGCCTGACATGGCATGCTGCGTAAAAGCAACTGGGGGAAAATGGGCCACTACAGTGAGGCGTCCTGTCACCCAGCTGGGGGTTAGGCTGGACTCATCACCTGTACCGTGGGTTGCGGTGTCCTTGGTTTGGATGGCCCTGTTGCCTTTGGGTTTCCTTGGATACTTCTTTGATTGTTTAGTTTTTAAAAATTATTTATTTTAGAGGCCTAGAGGGAAAGAGAGAGCTCCCATCCATTGTCTCACCCCTCAAGTTTCTGCAACAGCCAGGGAGAGGGGCGGAAGCTGGAGCTGCGGACTCAACCCAGGTCTTGCACGTGGGTGGCAGGAACCCGGCTACTTGTGCCGTCACTGCGGTCTCCTAGGGCCCACCTTCGCAGGAAGCTGGGATCAGGAGCCAGAGCCTGAGGTGGAACCCAGGCCCTGCAACGTGAGATGAGAAAGTCCTAAATAGCATTCTCACTGCCAGCACAAAGCCCAGCTCAGGCTTTCTTAAATCCCATCTGTGGGACTGACACTGTGGCGTAGTGGCTTAAGCTGCCACCTGCAGCACCAGCATCCCATATGGTCACTGGTTCAAGTCCTGGCTGCTCCACTTCTGATCCAGCTCCCTGCTAATGCACCTGGGAAAGCAATGGAGGATGAGCTTGGGCCCTGCAACCACGTGGGAGACCTGGAAGAAGTTCCTGGCTTTGGACTGGAGTCGCAGCCATTTGGGAAGTGAACCAGCAGATGGAACAGCTTTTCTCTCTGTCTCTGCCATTCCCTCTCTCTACCTCTGCCCTTCAAGTAGAATAAGTAAATCTTAAAAACAGAAAAGTCCTATCTGCGATGCAGAATTCTCCCAGTTGTGTTTTGCTATTATCATGCCCCAGCCCTGTTGCACCTGTTGGGGTGGGGATGGCAAGACTCTGTCACCCTGTGACCAGGTCTCCGTCGTGTGGGCAGCCCGTGTCCTTGGCCCGTGACCCTAACGAGTACTTCTCAGTCTTTCTGCTTGTTTTCTTTGGGGTTTTCCCTGCTAGGGTAAACAAGGTACTTGCAGAGGGCTGGCGTTGGCTCGTTCCCTGCCCCAGGTGTGCAAGGGCTCAGGTGAAACAGCTCCTCCTGGGCAGCCTCATTAAGAACAGAGGCACTGTGGGTATGTCGGAAAGGCCCTTTCCTCGGCCCCCTGTGCGAGGTGTCGGAGCGGGGGGAGGGGGGGAGAGGTGTTCCCCTGAGAACCCAATGGGGCTCACAAAGGCAGTGCTTACCTCATCCCCTGCGCCACTCCTCCATTGTCCTTTGGCTGAGGTCCCTGCAATGTGCTGCCCTCTGCTCTACCTGTGGTAAGTCGTGGTTCCGCGTCCCGTGTGTGCAGGCAGGGAACAGCGGCTTCTCCCATGACTTCAGTTCCCTGCAGGATCTAAGAAGAGGTGCTCGTCAGCATTTGTTGGGCTTTTTTCCTCTGTGGTTGAGAGGGGCAACTTCCAGGCTGCTTTACATGCTGAGTAGGAAGCTGTGAAGTCCACTAATTTAATTCTTAAATGTTTTCCTACAATTTTATTTTTCAATGTTTATTTACTTGGAAGGGAGAGAGAGAGAGAGAGAGAGAGAAAAGACTCTGCTGGTTTACTCCCCAAATGCCACCAGCACCCTGTGCTAGGTCAGGCCAAAGCCAGGACTTAAGTCCCAGGTATCCCACTTCCAATCCAGCTTCCTGCCAACATGCGTCCTGGGAGGCAGCAGGTGATGGCTTAGTACTTGGGTCCCTGCCAACCCATGTGAGAGAACTGGATTTAGTTCTGGGTTCCTGGCTTCTGTCTGGCTCAACTTGGGCCATTGTGGACATTTGGGAAATGAACCAGCAGATGGGTTCTCTGTCTGTCTCTTCTTTCTCTCTGTGTCTGTGTCTGTGTCTGTGTGTCTCTGGCTTTCAAATACAACTTAAAATTTTTTTAAAAATTTTTTTGAAAAACAAGCTCACAGGGAACTCTTGGGCTTATTAATTACCAACTGAAAAACTCTGAAGTTTCTTGTCACCTTTGCGTATTGAGTTACCCCAACTCTCAAACTGTGCATTGAGGCCCCTGGGAGTGGGGTGAGCTCCCCAGGGCATTCTGGGACGTCTTGTATTTTGAAGGAAACACAGCAATGTCTGTCTATCCAACACCCTGGGCACTGTTGCCTTGAGATGGTGCCATGTTAGCATGAAATCACCGCCTTCCCTCTGCCGCTGAGTGGGGCCTGACAGGTGCTGGGTTAGGCAGTCTGAACTTGGCTCAGCGGAACTGTCGGGCATGCTTCTTGTCCTAGGGCTGCGGGTACACTAAGAGCACCGCGACCTGGGAACATCCACTCGACCCTCGGGTTCCTCCCCCCTGGCTTCATGTTTGCATGGATGACAAGATCAGTGTGTCCCAGTGCCTGGGATGCCAAGTTCACTCCGCGATGCTCTCATGGACCCTGCTGCCTTTCCTGTTGCACTTGTGCATTCTCCAAAGACAAGTACAGCACCTTCATACCAGGGTCAAGGGACCGCACCCTGTAAATGGATTGTTGTGATCACTTCCAACGCCACAATCAATTCCCCCACCATCCCTTGCTTATGTGTGTCCACTGCAAAGGCCACGTCACACACCCAAGCTCCTTGAGGTTCCACAGGCTCACCAGGAAAGCCAAGAGGTATTATTCGGCTGGTGCCATGGCTCACTAGGCTAATCCTCCACCTTGCGGTGCCGGCACACCAGGTTCTAGTCCCGGTCGGGGCACCGGATTCTGTCCTGGTTGCCCCTCTTCCAGGCCAGCTCTCTGCTGTGGCCTGGGAGTGCAGTGGAGGATGGCCCAAGTGCTTGGGCCCTGCACCCCATGGGAGACCAGGATAAGTACCTGGCTCCTGCCATCGGATCAGCGCAGTGCACCAGCCGCAGCATGCCGGCCACGGCGGCCATTGGAGGGTGAACCAACAGCAAAAAGGAAGACCTTTCTCTCTGTCTCTCTCTCTCACGGTCCACTCTGCCTGTCAAAAAAAAAAAAAAAAAAGGTATTATTCACCCACTTAAAAGACAAAAAACCCAGGCCCTGAATTCAGAGAGGTCGCATCACTGCACGCGATCTCCTGAGAAGCTTCTGGCTGACCCAAGACCAGGGCCAAGGAGGTCTGAGAACAGGGGAGAGCATTAGGCTTTTATCTAAGGCCTGCTCGCCTGTGCCTGGGACACTCAACAAAGCTGCTTCCTATCCCCTTGTGCCAGCACAGGGTCACTGATTGCTAAGGTTGTAGGTCCATGAGAAAGTTCTGGAACAATCTAGCTCCTCCTCTGTCTCAGGCGGTGGCGGGGGGCGGGGGGGATTCTTTATTTGCAGGAGGTGGGCTCTTGTTGTGAGGTGGCACCGGCAAGCCAGCCGCCTGGCTGTGGAGGGGTGAGCACAGGAAACTGTTCTGCTTTGTGCATCCCCATTGCAGATGATCTAATGAGCCGTAGGCACAGGTGCACACAGAGGCCAATTCGGAGGGGCTGTGTAGATCACAGCATCTGTGATGGACACTGGCCCCTGTGACAGGGACGCTTAGACCAGGAGGGCTGGGACAGCCATCGAAGGCTGGGGAGGCCTCACAGAGAGCTGCAGCCAAGCTGAACACGCCATTACCTCTGGACCCCTCATTTGGTTCCCATCCAGAGCAGGGATGATCACGAATGGTGACCATCTGTGCAGTGCTTGTTGGGCCCCAGCCAGGGCCAAGCAGGTCTGGTGAGCACCAGTCCCTCCTCCCACCCGCCCACCCCGTCTTGGACCTCTGGGCGGTTGTGTCCTGCTGCTCTCTCTTCCTGCTTCTCAAGTTTAATCCATACTTGATGAAGTGTCCTTCCTTAAAAAAAAATTTATTTACTTATTTATTTGAAAGGCAGAGTGACAGAGAGAGGGCAATGTCGCTCCCCCATTCGCGGAAGAACGACACAGGATCCTGTGCTGTTCTTTTGTCTGATCGGCCCTTCCCGGGTTTGCTGCTGGTCCTTCCTGGGTTGGCTGCCGATCCCTCCACCTCGTGGAAGGGCGGTTCCCCCTGCCACTTTCCCCACTTCCGCGGAGGAGCGGCACACCACCGGCCGGCTCTCTCGGGGGCTGCTCAGATGTTATCCGAATGTTCCTGGTGCATGTTGTCTCTCTCCTCCTTTATAGTCCTCTTCCACCAATCCCAACTCTGCTACCCACACGCCGAGTACGCTGCTCTCCTCCAATCAGGAGCAGGATCAGCTCCTGCAGGTTATTGGTCGAACTGGAGGCAGCTGTGTAGAAGTTGTTTACTCCTCTCCCAGCACCATATTGTGGGAGAGCAGATGCATAGAATAAGTCTTAATTCCAGTAACTTAGTCTAGTCTGAGTTGCTCCCCACAGGGCAAGACAGAGATCTCTCATCTGCTGATTCACTCCCCAAATGACCACAGCAGCTGGGACTAGGCCAGTATGAAGTCAGGAGGCAAAAAATTGAGTCCAGGTCTCCCATGTGAATGGCAGGAACTCGGGTGCCTGGGCCATTGTCCATTGCCTCCAGGATGCGTTAGCGGGA